GACTCCTAGGTGCTCAACACCAAGGCAATGACGTCGGGTTGGTTGTTTCTCCTATCATGACCCGTGATGAAGAATCTTTCAAAGACCTTCCATTCAAACATTCAAAGGGCAAAATAACATGCTTTGTTTATTATTTTTAACATTTGTGATAGACCGTTCAATTGATTTAGGTGAATAATATTTTTAAAATAATATATGGATTTGGGTCTATGCATTTCCTCTTTCTCACATACTCTGTGTATCTACTTATACAGTAGCACTGTACTATTGTGTAAAGAAATAATATGAAGAGTTTTGAAAGTTGCAAAGAGCCATAGAGGGAGTACCGAAATGGTGGAGCAGTGAGTACCAATAACTCAGCTTCTCCAGGACAAAGAATCTAGATCCTGGGAAACAGTCGTTTGGAGAATAGAAGTGAGTGGAGGGTACAGGGGAGCAGTGAGGGAACTGACCGACAGAGGAGCAGAAACAGGACTAACTGGTATGGGAGAAATAGATAACACTATGGAGGAGAGACTGCATGATGTCAAGGACTTTGCCAGCTAGGAGGCAAAGTGAAACTAAACAACTTTTCTGCTCACAGAGGACTGGAGAACTGTACCAAGGCCAGAAGAATCTTCTGCAGTTGGAGCCAGCACAGAGAACTCAAGACACCTGCTTCCTGAAGAAGAAACCTTCCTTCATTGCATGTGGGAATATTAATTAGTACAACCATTATGAAAATCAGTGGGCAGATTTCTCAAGGAATTGAAATTAGAAATTCCATATGACCCAGCTATCCCCCTACTAGGAGTCTTCCCCTAAAATGCTTAAGATATTATAGTACAGTGATACATGCATAGTAATGTCTATAAGCATACAACTCATAGTAGCTAAATTCTATTTCTAATAGCCTGTCAACAAATAATTGGATAAAGAAAATACAGTATGTATATATAATTGAATATTATTCTGCTATTTAAAAATGACAGATTTGAGACATTTTCAGGAAAATGAATGCACCTGAGAAAATATAACGTGGTATGAAATAAACCAGACACACATGGATGTGCGTGAACACACACACACACACACACACACACACACACACACACACACTTAAATACCATATGGTAGCTCTCATTTGAGTGAGGCAAAGTAAACACAGAGACAGAAAGAGAATTTTTTAAATGTGTTGATAAAGGTGTTACGTGTTAAGTTTAGATGTCCCCCCAACGCCTCAGGTGGTCATAGATTTTTTTTCAGAAATGGTTGACTCTAGAGTGTGTAACTGATTCATAGTGCAGTGGTGAGATTAAAGGGGCTAGGATTAATGGTGGGTTATTGCTGGATCAGTTCACTGATCGGAAAGGCACCACCCTAATCCCAGTAGATTGGATGTAATACAAGGCACAGAAGGAGGCTTGTCTTTCTCTCTCATTGCTTTTTCTGACTTCTGCTGCCAAGAACTGTTACCCTTCTGCCATGTACCACCCTTGTGCCAGCTGATTATGCACTAAAACCTCGACAAACTGTGAGCTAAATAAACCTTTTCTTCCTTAACTTTGAGAGCAGAGTATTTTGTCTCAGAAATGAGGAAAGTAACTAAGACAGAAAGGAACTAGGAAATGATCTCTTGCAACAGGGAAGTGGTCCAGTGAAACAAAGGCAAAGGGCAAATGGAAATAAGTAGAATAAAATATGCCAGTACAGGAATCTAATAACCTCAATTAATGTAAGCATTTATGCCATAACATAAGCTAAGGTTAATAATATCAACAAGAATGGGGTACGGGAATTGGAGGAAGACCAAACTGGGGAGGAAGGGAAGGACGAGAGGAAAGAGAAAGGGAATTTTAAAAAAAAGAAACAAGCTATGTACACATGAAACCACTCCCCAAGAGGATTCTAAACTGCATGAACTGTAAACATGTAATAATAAAGTAAAAGAGAAGAAAAAGAGCCAAGATATAAAAATATAAATTATTGTTATTAAATAAAATCACATGATGCTAATGTTAGGGCTCGAAAGTCACAGAGATCACTTTACATGACCTCATTTCACAGATGAAAACATTGAGTTTCAAAAAAGTGAAAAGCTAAAGATTTGAGTTCTGCCACTAATCTGTGATCCCCTATTTATGGTTGAGAACTGCATTCCAAATCATTTCTGTCCCTGGAATACTTGCTGATACTGGCTTCCTCAATTATCATGTTTTTCCAAGCAATGGTCTGTATTCTCACACTTTTACTTCTGTGTCCCCTGGCTTAATTTCAAGCTACTTTCTGTGTTAGTAAAACACTGTGTTTTCTGGTTGGCTTTTCAAACAGTGATATCTAGGTAGAGGACTTGTATCACATCCAAGCATAAGAATTCTATAATCATTAGAATTTAGGCCTAATAATATAAGATGGGGGGGAAAGATTAAATAAGTGGAAAATTGTTGACTTATCTGGGCCATTTTGATGTCAGATTCTTTTTCCAAATTATAGTTTAATAAATGGACTTAAATTTATCTGTTAAATGATATCCTGTTAAGCAGAAAAATCATCAATTAATAGTAAGATACTTCTGGCCAGAGTCCATTTATTCAGGCATTCAATAAACATTATTAGAGCCTTAAAAATAACAAGGAAATGTAGGTGACCCTAAAAAATTATTTTTAAAAATACAGATTAATGAGTTTCTTCCTTCCTAGAAAGAAATTTAAGAAGTAACAATAACAATTCACATTTATTGAGGTCTTACTGTGTGTCATGCCTCGTGCTGTTTAAGTTCTCTCTTGATCTTTATTGTGATAAATTATATATTACTATGTGAATACAAAATATAAATAAGATCTTATATAAAACTTCTAGTATTGTGCTTAGAGCATATTAGAGTCTCACAAAATTTTAATTGTTTCCTTTTGAATTTTTTTTTGATGCTACTGGTATTAAATCTAGTGCCTTATACATCCAAAAGCATACACTCTACCGCCCAGCTATACTTACCAGTCCTAACCCTTCCATTTGCACAACAAATATCACCATTTTTCTTTCTTACAAGTAGTGATTTCTAGAGCTGTTTGGTTCAACAAAAGAGTATACTGAGTAAACATGAAAAATGTCCCTAGATTCATGGTGTGTGGCAGAATGGTGGAATGAAGCAGCCAAAGACAGAAATGACACATTTGCCCATCTGAAGGAGCTGGGAACTGGCTCCAGGAGAGGCTTGAGGGTACCAGAGAAACAAAGAAACTCTACCAGCAATAACTGGACGAGATGGTTGGTCTGTCCTTGGTCGTGTAGAGGCTCGTGGGAGAGGCCCAGATCCAAGGAACACACTGAAGGAAGTGCGGGCAGAGGCACAAATAACAGATTGGAGCCTGTCTCAGGATGTCGCCGCTTAGAGCTTGCAGAGCATGGCTTCCAGAACCACAACAGACTCCAGCAGACTTTCCACAGAGATGGCGAGGAAGTTGCTGGAACAAACACTATCCTGAAACTTGCCCCTACTCTGAACCTCATCAAACCCCAATGTTTTTCTGAGGTTAGAAAAAGCCTGGCTTAGCATTTTTAAGACAATATCTATTTGCCTTTTGTCTCCCATTTGCAGCCAGAAGTGAAAGTTCTAAAAACCCATTAAAAACTTTGGGTTTTATTTTTTATTTATTTCTTTACTATATCCCTTGCCGGGCCAAAACCAGAGAATGCTGGAATGGCAAAAGCTCATTCTCCTGAGATATCCTGATCAAAGTCATTTGGAACTGCCCTGGCGAAGCATCTGGATTTTTCCATTCTTATCCAAACCAACACTTCAATCCCTTGCAATTTGCTCATATGCATCCACCTTCTCAAGTGTTCTGAGGCATTTCTTTCAACACACACATTGGCCTTCAAAGGATAACAAGCAATTGCAGACTGACAGAAGCAGTATTTTCAAGTCTTTACCTCCATACTGTCATCCAACAGAGATCAGGAACTTCTGTCAACATTATCTATTCTTTTTATTCCATGCAGAGCAGATGTATAGGGGAGGCAAAGCCGAATACACTCCTGCATAGAAAATTATGTTTTAGCACTACTTTTTACACTACTAAATTGTAAGTGTAGGATTCAATAAAGTGAAATTTTAAGGTAACTCATGTAAATCCAGTAGACAATCTGGTATTGTCCTTTAAACTTGCCCTATCAGGTAAGTTGTGTTTTTGTTGGGTAACTCAAAATTTACCGACATTTTTCTTATAGGTTACCTTTATTCTAAGTGACTTTGACCCATAGACAGGTTTCTTTTCAAGAAATAATTGTGTATGTAAAGTCTTACATGTCACAGTCTTAATCCTGTCTTCCCTAAGAAAAATGCAGTTTATCTGTGGTGGTGTAATATCTATAGTATAGCATAGGGAGAAACTGGGTTTCTCCTCCTGCTACTTTTCCTGATGATTTCTTTCCATAGAATATAACAGAAAGCTAGAGTTTGCCTTTCCAAGACACAATTCTCAGAAAACTCTTTCACTTTTTCAGTAGGATGAAAAAAATTATGATTTTTGTCCTGTGCAGAGCTGGTGAGAAAACAGCTCATAATGATGTCCATTGTTGCCTGTAACATTTTTTAACATTTATTCTACTTTGGTTACCTGGATATTTCTTTAGTATTTTCTATATCTTTAGCTATTCCATACTGGAGACTTGATGATATGTTCATTAGCATAACCTTTCTCTAGTGTCAACTAAGAAATATTTTTGATCAGATAGATAAACTTCTAAGGTCAGCATCCCTGTCTCAGTTTCTGATGTTTCCAAAATATACAAGAGATTCTTTAGTTTTCTAAATCTTCACCTGCTTCTTCTTTTCATGTAATTTGCCTTTGTGCAGTTATTTTGCACCACCCCTGGAGTGTTTTCAAATATATTTCAAACCCCCAAGCAACCCCATTTCAGCTGATTGACTTCAGGGAACTCTAATGCTGGCCAGGCATTTTGCTGCAACCCCATTTAGACTCAGCAGGAAGAACAGATTTAAAAGGCAGATTACGGTGTTAGCTTTTTAAAAACTGCTTTATTAGAGAGGCTAAAAGCCACCGAGGTGGTAAGCTGAATTCTTTTGAAATACAAGCAACTTTAAGACATCGAGGGAGCAGTTCGTCACCCGTGGAGCTCCTCCCTTTGGGTTTCAATGATGGCAGGGACCAGCTGGCTCTGAGTAGTTTCCTTACAGGTCCTTGTGACTCCAACAACAGAATCCCTAAAAGCACCAAAGGGGATTCATTTAAGGATTGGAGGCCTTTGAAAAGCAGCTCACCCCTGGGCTTCTGGCAGGCCATTTTGTGTGAAAGGGTTGGTTATATACTGGCCTCACTGCATTGTAGGGGATGGCTGGGGCAGTAGGTAGAGAGCCATGAGGAGAATCTGAAAGTCACTAAGGAAAGAGGAGTTCTTATGATAGATACCATGAGTCCCAGAAAATAAATGGATGTATGGATGGGAAAATGAGTGAATGAATATTTGAATGAATGATAAAGAAAGGCTACCCTACTAGCTAATGCTTCACATGCCATCTTAAAATATGTGCTATGATTTTTCCATGTGTTGTTTACTTGTCTGGGTCTGTTTGAACTGTTTCAGGAGCTGCTTGTAAAGTGATTAAGGATCCATGAAAAGAAGGTCAATATATGCAAGACATATGGTGCATACCTGTAATCCCAGCACTGTAGGAGGCTGAGGTAGGAAGACTGTGTCAGTCTTCTTAGGCAATTTAGTGACGTAATGAGGCCCTGTCTCAAAATTTTTAAAAAAAGATAAATAAAACAACTAACAGGTGGGGATGTAACTCTCTGTAAAGTCCCTTGGTTCAATCCTTAGCACAGAATAAGATGGAGAAGATAAAGGAAAAAGAGAAGGAGGAGGAGGAGTTGAATGAGAAGGAAGAGAACGGGGAGGGCGAGGGGAAGGGGAGAGGTAAGTATAACCAAATATTGAGAGACACTGAGATTCTAGGCGAGTTTTTATTTAGGGGTTAAAAGATGAAATAATTCATCAGATTTGTGATAGAAAAAGTATGCAAAAAAGCGGACTGGATCCTATCTAAGGGCAAAATTCAGTCAGGATTAAACTAGAGATCTGACAAATCATATAAGGCATATGTACTGCCACCCACTTCCCCTGTGCCCAAAAAGAACATCAGCAATCAGTGGTAACTCTACACAAGTTTTCACACAACCTCAGAATCCTTCTTAGCAGGCTTTTGCAGTCCCAGATTAATCAGAGGATATTCGCAAAATGGCTATGGATCAGTTCAGAACCCAATACAAATTCCCAGGGGAGAACAGGAGACAGAATCCAGCAGAGCTAGTCTCCTGGGAACTGACAGAACACCAAGTGTGTGCCACCCGACATGGCTGGCTGTCAGTACTGGCTTCAAGAAGTTGTCACCCTCAGTAGTCTGGGATCTGTCACCAGATTTTTCAAGAGCAAATAAAAGTAAAATTGTATTTAGAATCTCCTGATTTTCAAATGTTAGATCCAAAAAGGGAGAAAAAGCAGTGTTGTATAAGCCAAACAAAATACTTATACGAGAAATAAAATTAAAAATGTTTGCCAGTTAATGTAGCCTTCAGGCTTAAAGAATTGAAGAAAGATTCCAGTGTGCTCCTATCTTTCCTGACCTAACTTACCTCCATCTGGGATGCAGCTTAAAAACAAAAGAAATCCATCTCACAAGGGCTTGAAGAGGGCATGTGACAAATTGTAGAAAATTATAGCCAACATTTTGTGGTTGCTGATCTTCCCCAGGTTACATGCTAGCAGAGACCTGAAAAATAGGCAAACTTCAAAGATCAAAGTTTCCAGGCTACAGAGGGGACATTTCAGCCAGCATGCTTTTGTCTGGTTCCTCCCACCCAAACCCTTCTTTGTCAGTCACAAAGCAGTTGTTAGCAAAGTTCAGATTCTGACATTGTTAGAGGCTAATGATGCCTTTCACACATTGCTTATTTCAGTACTCCAGTCCTCCTGGTCTCTGTCTCCATTTGGGTTGTTTACATACAATTTCCTTTGGAGTGGAACTTTGTTTTTCTTTTCCTTCTTTTGGGACTGTTGTTGTTTCTTAAAATAGGAGGTCATTTGAGGCAGAAATGTGTTTTCGCCTCTTTGCTTCCTCTATGGTTGGGACTGGGGCCCTTTTGAAAAGAAGGAAATTTCCACTTTGTTTATAAGGAGAGGTTCATTTTCTTTGGATATCCTATTAATTTTCTGGGTAGGGAGTTTGGAGTTCCTAGGATTATCTAAGGAGATGAGGCCAGTGGTTGGAAAGGCTTTTCTTTGGTTTGTGTGTTTTCATGTTACATATGCTGCTTTTCCTAATGCTTTTTTCTCTCATTTCTCACATTTTTGCAATGAACCTACACATCTGCCTTTGCATTCCAGCTCTCTACTCTGTCTTCTTCTAGCTCCCTTTACTTGTCAATCTGGATTATTTGACCAATGTGCTGGACCAATTCCAGCCTGAGTCATACCTTAATACATTTGAAAGGAAAAGTAATTTTCCTCCTCTTTAAAATGCAGGCATGACCCATGACCATTACTGGAAAATACAGGCTTGATGGTGCTACCTTCCCCTGCCCCACCATTCTACTCCTCCTCCCCCTCTACATGTGACAGGTCAAGCCCAACATCAAGTCATTTCAGTGTGCAAACAGGTGGGCAGGGGCTGTTCCGGACACTGCGCAGAGTTTACCCTGGACCTGATTGAGAATACATTCTAAGGAGACAGCTTATTAACTTTTAAAAGAATGTTTCCAAGTACGTGTATTCCAGAGCCAAACAAACTGAAATCCTTCAAGGTAAATCTTATGAAAACTTTCGTTGTTTGAAACAAAGGAAATATTAATTTTAAAACAATTTACTGCAAATGACTCCTAATATGTAATTTAATTAAAGGGAAATGTTCAATAGAACATAATACTAAAAAAAATTGAATTAAATGGAAGCAAGCCATCAGGTCTCTCATTTTGATTGTTCAGGATCATCCCCTGCCATAAATTTTATTGTTTATTGAAGGAAAAGTTTAAATTCCACATTATGTGAGGGTAAGTGATTAAGGCTGATATAAGAAAACACAGGACCAGGGAAGTTTATGATGGTGGTTGGGACCAGGGATTTGGAGCTGGGCAGATCAGGAATTGGTTATCAGCTACAATGGAACTAGCTGAATTGCCTCAGGTAAATTACTCACTATGTCTATTCTTCAATTTTCAGTTCTATAAAAAAGGGATAATAACAGTACCTGCTTTATCGAGTGGTTGAGAATTAATATGTTAAAGACATACTAAGTTTTCATCTGATCAACATAAAGCATTTCTTCTAAGTGCATAAGAGGCACTTACACATCTGACACTGCCTATACTAGAATAATTCTATAAAATAGGTATCCTTTTTATCTCCATTTAGCTGAAGAAATTAGGGGTCCAAAATATTTAAGTATTACTCCACAGCCCCAGAAATACTAAGAAACCAAACCAAGATTCCAACCCAAGAGAACTGACATTCTGTTTTGAACAGAGATACTCAAAATGGTAATTCTATTCTCCATAAAATAATTACACACACAGTCAGGATTAAACACCTTCTTTAGAATTCACCTCCTAACTCAGGGAAGTACTCACCTGATGCATTTGAAAAATATTATCTCAGTACAAAGGAAAAGAGGAGGAGAAGGGGTTTTGCTTTTCAGTTAGCCAAGAATTAGTTACTCACATTTTCTCATTCCTCCTAGAGTTCTGGTTAAGTGAGATTATTCTGTACAATAAAATAAATACATGTGGTAGAAATTATTGAGTCAAATACCTTCAATTTCAAAAGATACAAACTACTCTAATTTATCTAGTTTCTAGAGATTCAAGTTTTAAACTGTTGGTGAATGTCCAAGTAACATTTTTATTGTCTGGAGGAATGAAACTTGAAGACCTGGAAGAAACAGGAGATTGTGACATCAGAGATAGAAATAAAAACCAGAAGTTTGTCACAGTAATATATTCTAATAACCAAGAAATTAAAAATCACAAGATATGTCTGCATATTTAGAATAATAAGCTATGCTCAAATATAGCTTGTATTTTATTTTGCATTTTATGTTATCACAATTGATTTATATAGGAGAAATATTATTAGATGAGGTAAGCAGTAGAAACATTATCAATCTATTTTATGTAGGAGGCAACTGAGGCTCTGAGATCCAATTGGTTGGCCTAGGTCAATAGCTGGTAATTCTTAGAGCCAAGACTAATCATTCCCTGCTCTTTCTGCTCAATCACAATTCCCACTGCTAATGTTGCTGAGCTTGGTCTGTCATTTTACTTTACCAAGATGGCTGTTCTCCAAGAGCTGGGAACCAAGAATAATTTTGTAGGGAAAGGTCCAAAATAAGAGGTGACGATGCATGTGTACTCCCTCCCAATCCACCTCAGAAGGCCCTCTGAGGTGTAGGAGGGGTATCCCTGGCAGGTGGGGGAGAAACTGCAAGGGGCACGTGTCCCACATTTCCACATACAGCCATCCTCATCCCACATTTTATTTTATATTAAAACTCCCAGCTCTGCATTCAAACTTGTAGGGTTGGATCTTTGTGCCACTCTGCCCTAATTTTTTTTTTGCCTTGTTTCCTTGTTGATAGAATGATATTGATAATTGCATTGATTTTCAGGATCAATATCAAAATTAAACAAGATAGCCCATTTAAACTGCTTAGCACGTTGACTGACATGTAGTGAGAATTCAATGAACTTTATTATTTCATGCAGAGATATAAGTGGCAAAGCCAGGGTTTGAACCCAGCCAGCAGAACTCCAGAGCCCAACTGCATAACCACAACCCCACACTTTTTGCCTTTGTACTGGTTTTGTCCATCTGCCTAAAGCACACTTCCTCTAGGCAGCTATCCACACAGCTCTCCTCTGCTTGTTGTTCAGCCTTTGACCTTTCCTGGCTGCCTGATCTAAAATAAGTTTTCCATCCTCTCAAGCTGTTTCATTTTGCCCTGACTTAGAGCAGTCTAAAACTGAATATTTATTTGATAGTACATGGAATACTTTCCCTACCACTAGAAAGTAAGTTCTATGAAGGCAAGAGCTTAGTTTGGTTCACGTAAGTCATTTTTTTTTTTTACCATAGAACATACAATATTGTTCGTCACATCAACACATACATTGATGAACAAAACATATTAACATGGCAGCTAACATACTAAAATACTACCAGCAGAGGAACAGAAATGTTGGTAAGCTCTAGATCCTACTCTTAAGGGATTTGTACTTTGGCTAGGAAGACACTCTGGGAGGATCCATAGAAATCCATCTATGATAGACTACGCCAAATTTGAATGAATTAGGGCTAAGTTTCTGGGCATTCATACCATGAATTATCTTTTTGGTATGGTGCTGACTTCTCCACCAAGCCAATTTGACATACTCTTCCCTAATGAAATGCTCTAGAGGCAAATACCACCAAATCAAATGATAAAATCTTTACAAAGCCATTTCAAGAGAATTTAAATGTTCTCTATGAAATTACACATAGTATTCTTTTGGGGATGACATTCTCCAGAAGGCTGCAGACAGTACAGTGTGTTCTACTCAAAGCATGTTTTTATCAGTATAATCGACTCCCACAAGTAAACTGGGGAAGTAGATACTTTACAACTGTTAAAGATCTTGGAAGACTGAAAAGCAAAAGAGGCATTTAGTTCATTTAACCTAAACTACTGGACTATGTCTCTGTGTGAGTCATTAATCAATCCCATTAAGTTATAATTCTTTGCTAAGCTAAGAAAACACAACCCAAACAGTAGTGAGCATTTCCTCCCTTGCCACTTACCCCTTAAAATGAAGAGCGATCTTCTAAAAACTTCACTCTTCCTGAGATTAGCAGGTCTGCAAAACGTCCACAAGATTTGTCCAGAGAGAAAATGTGCCAGATGCAATGAAGTGAGAGATCCTTGTTTGATGCTGACCACTTGCATTCAAACTGATTTCCACAACTCAGATAAAGCAATGCAGAGCTACCCAGCATGACAAGACTAAACTAAAACCAATCATTTACAACATGATTTCCTGCTGAACAGTGTCTAAGTTGTCCCATGGTGAATAGTTGTTAGCTAACACAGAACAGACCTTGGATCTTGAATGCAAATATTTTTATATGACAAATGACATTGTGTATGTGTTGATGAAGGGGGACCACAGGAAAACAGTGTGATACAATGTAACCATCAGTGGTTACAGCACAGGAAGTCTACTCTGTTCTTCATCAGAGAAGCTCACCTTGATCTGACATGATGGGCCAAAGGGATTAGTAGCCCCGGGGACAGACAGATCCACACTCATGAAATAGGCCACAGCAATGCCCATTGTTGCTTATTATAAAGCCAACACAATCGAACATAATTTATCAAGTGCCTGGTGGATGCAATGTCATAGGTTAAAGGGTTAAACAGCTAAAGATTTGCAAGACACCTCTGTTGTTAAAGAAGAGGAAAGTACCAACTTAAATGTGACCTCATTTAATTTGGTCCTCAGAGAAATCTAGTAAGGCACATAGAGCAGGCTCCAAAAACCCCAATTTGTAGATAAAGAAGCCAATCAAAGGGTAAGGGAAATGCTCAAGCCTGCATAAGAGTGAAACCTGCAACTGAGCCTTGGGCCTAAATCATGCTCTTACCACTGCCCACTCAGCATCTGGTTCCACCATCAGGTGAAAACTTTCCTTCAAAAACGTTCCTGGGGTGAATTAGAAACGGACTGACAACTCCTAACATTTAAACACTTCAGTATGTCATTGAAAACAGTATTTAACTTTCTTTCATAAAGTAGACCATGAGTTGACCACATGACCAAAACAGCAGATGGTCTTGGAAGAGAAGCTCTTCTTTTACCCACAGAGCTCTCCAAGACTTCAAGACGGCAGCCTGGGTCTGTGGCGCTCAGAAGATCAGAGGGTCTTTGAATTCTGACGTTGCTTGGGCTGGGTACCTGGACAAATAAGTACATCTGCTTTCTTTGATTTGCAGTAGGGATCATCTTTCCCAAATTCTTCCTGGTGTCCCTTCACGAAGCTTTTGCCTCACTTCAGGTTTACAAGTCATTTCCTGATTTCCTGTCACTTTTTATCACAAGAAGATAGTGTACTGCCTGCTTCAAGTTCAGAATAGTGCTGCAGACTGTCTTTACATTTCTAATGGAACTTCATACTTTCAACCCTATATCCTCTCTCTTTCTCCTGTCTCTCTTTCTGTCATCGTTGAATTTAAAAGCCATGAAGATAGCATCTGTAATGAAATGTTATCTCTTAAGTAACGACTGTAGCACAAAGTCTTCCATTTGTGAAGCACCCAGTCTTCTGTATAAATCAATGACTTTTTATCTGGTTTCCACATATCGCGTCTGTCTTCTTCTTTGAGCTTCTCCTGGGCTTCAGCACAGTCATATCTATAAAGGTCATTTATTGGTGATCCTGTCTAGATGCTCACGAATGAAGGAAAATGCTTATTGAATTTGAGAGAGACATGTTTTTGACTGAGTTTTGGAATGCCCCAGTGAACAAAGGTTTAGATTTACCTCAGTCCTGAGTCTTAGGGTCTACAAGTAAATTAGAGACCCCTCAAAAAAACATACCTTACAGGAAGACATAATAGATATTACTGTACTATTTACTATATATTTGATATAATATTTATCTAAGAGAAATACATAAAATATTTGTTCCATTCAGGCAATATTATAGTCAAGTGGGTAATAGTAGTAGAACTTTGAAAATTATTCAGAGAAAAACATTAAACAGCATGATACAGAGACTTTCAACTTGTACTAGGATATTTTTTTTTAAATCACTGAAATTGAACATTAAAGGAATCCTGAAGTTTATAAACTGTCACTATTGTTAATGGGAAAAATCAATATTAATATTTAAAATTCAATTTAGAAACAGAATTGAAATTAATAAGTTGCCGGCACTGGTCCATAATCCACATAGTTTTTTCTTTCTACTTGTTCATAGGTTTCAGAAATGCGCATTTATATTTTGAATTCTAACTTCCCCTTATTTTGTAATTGTAAACATTTTCCATTTATTTAAATGGCTGCATAACAGTTTATCATGCTGCTGAGCCTTTATTTAAATTAACTCTTCCCCTAACTGTAAACATATATTTGAAAGTTATATTAAATTTGGTGATTTAGAGATTTTCACTTCAAAATTTTTTTGCATTTCATTCACACAGATGAGCATGACACATACACTTAAAACAGAGAAGTTTAGGAGATAAATGCTAAAAACTGCTCTTGGGGAGGAAGGCGTGAAAACATTCCCCTCTCCCCCACAAAAAACCACATTTTAATATTCACCACCAGTTATTGGACTGAATGAGCCTTTAGTTCCCTTATTTGAATTCATTCCACAAACCAGTTGCACTAATTTTGTATTCTCTTTGGCCATGTAGACGGAATCTAAAAATATTTGCAAGAAAGAACTCTGGACTTACCCAGCGTGTATTTATCTGCTTTTGTTTATATCCTGTCTTGTTACAAAAAGTTTAAGGCAGTTCACTTATGAGATTTTTTTTAAAGGATTAATAGCTTTAATAGCCCATTTTCCTCATTTTTATTTTTCTGTACTGAGAGTATTTCTGTTAGTTATACAAGTAGAACTTTAGGTCTTAGAGTTTTACTGCATTTTTCAGATGTGTAATATTTTATTCCCCATTTGCTTTACTTTCACATCAGCATTCAGAGTTATTATAAACATCTCACATTTGTCTTTGTTATATTTCTTGTGTAAGTAGGATCTGGGTGGAATATTACTTGTTTAAACTTCTGAGGTCACAGACTTTTCGAGCTTATACCAGTACGACTCAGCTAGGAAGCAATAACAATCAAAAGGTTAAATATTGAAAATTTTGGAATGTAGTACTTTACAAAGACATGCAACTAGCTGGCTTTTGGTCAGCAATTGTACAGGACAATAAAAAGACAAAAATGTCTTACTGCTTCTTGCAATGTGAAATCACTTCATCACTGTTTGCTCAGGCACCACATGCATTTTTTCCTATTCATTTTAGTATTCACTGTGTGTAAAGTTTCTATATTTTGTGCTATGACAAGGGCACATTTTGGAAATGCCAGGGAACTTCAGAACTGACGTATTATGTTCCCCATGGGGTTCTCACAAAAACCCAGTGAGAAGGATAGGACAAGACTAAGTATCCCCATTTTATAGGACGGAAAGAAAGACTCAGAAACATCTTGATATACTCCAATTTATCGGAACTAGAAAACTAAAGACTCAGACCCAGATATTCCCATCCTTAATCCAACTTGCATACCACCATTCACAGCTATAATTAAGATTTTTCACTAATTCTTTCTTTTGAGGATTTTCTAAAACTCTAACTCGCACATTAGGTTTACAGCAATTCAAGCCAAGGGAAATCTGTGTGAAATGACTTTATTAAATGTGGTTTTACTTTCTGTGGGATGAACCCAAGAGTTGTTTCTCTCCCCCATCAAAGTGTTCTCTTTATTTAGTGAGATGAAACTCAATAAAGAATGAAACTTCTCACAGAAACTAAAAGATTGGGGCCTCCTACACTGCTTCTTGAGGAAGGAGAAACATCACCCTCCCTGGCTGGTGGTGGCTTTTCCCCTGGGTTCCCATATATCCTCTCTTCACTGAGCCAAAGTCCACATTCCTTGCCCTGTCACCACACACAGTTTGACCCCAGGCCAGGGTGGCATCTTCCTCAGTCCCTTTGAGGTCACAGCCAACGCTGCCCTGTGGACTCGCTGGCAGTGGGTATCTGGGGACAGCTCCTGCCCAAGCCTCCCAGCAGCAGCCCCTTACACGTTACTTCACAATGGCCTTGTGTTCTCCCCTGCTTACTGGGAGGAAGATGCAGCCTGCTCTGCCCAGGCCTCCCACCAAGTGTGTTACTTAGGGCCTTCAATCCAAACAGGATGCTGGTCAAGTACTGCAGATTATTTGACCACCACTACCTCCTCTTTGCCCCTCAGCTGCTTAATTCAGTCAAAGCTTTCAGGACCCCATCTCGGAGAGGTGTATGTTGCTGTTTTGTTTCCTCGAACAGGAAAATGTATTTTCTGCTCTTCCCCCCCCCCACCAACTGCTTTGAAAGACATGAGAACCCGGCCTGTTGCAAAGAGATATTTTTGCATCCAGATTAGAAGAAAAAAGTCTTTACCCCAATGTCTGAAAACCTTTTTAGTGTGAAAATCTGGGATGGACCACTTGAAGAAGGGGGGCATCACCAGCAAGGTTGGAATACAACAGCGCCGTCTACTGGGCAGAAGGCCGACGTCTCTGTTAGTGCTCGGTGCAGTGACCACAACACAGTCATTTCCAAACCCAGCACCTCTGGTGAGAGGCGACTACCATGGGTCACTGCTTCCAGAACAAACTTTAGGCCTTGAGATCTGCCCTTAAAACAATTTCAGTAACTTTACTCCCTGTATACCCACGTCACCCCCTATCCATGTATAGAGACTACCCCCACCATCTGCACTTACTAAAAACCATCTCACCTTGACATGCCTACGTTCATTCCTTTACTCGTTTATTTGGCAACAGACTCTGTGCGAGGTATTGGGGGAATAATAAGTAAAACACAGCTTCTCCAAGCACCTTTTGTAGGGCGTCTAGGATTGATCCTGGAAAGAACATCTACTTCTAGTCTTTTTCTATCAACATCCTTTTGATTCTCACTTACATTTTTCAGTTCCTCTCTGAGCTCTATTCTTTGCTAAGGGATCACTGGAATACTAAGATATCTGTGTAAATTAACCAAGCTACTATATTAAATGTATTACCTTGGTAATATATTTCTCCTATGTAAATTCAAATCCTTGAATCTCGAATATGGCTACACAAGAATGGTTTGAAGATTGAGGTCTTTGGGCAGCTTGTTAGAGAGGTATGGGGGTCAAAGGAGGAGGTGATGTTGAATGTGTGTTCTTCAACCAGTTATCATAATCACCTTCTTAATATGCACAAATGGTCAGCTCTGGCCAGCAGATGAGAACACAAAACATAAATTTCCTTAGATATAATTATTTTTTAGGACTGTTCTATTCATTTTCCATTACTAAGAAATATGTGAATAAAATGTTCAGCCAAGTCATTAAAATCAAGTGGACCACTGTAACATCATGAGACAAAATACTGTTAATAATGAGATAAGATACCTCTCTACGAATGTTGGGAAAATGGAGGAAAATAGAAATCTAATTTTTGTATACTCATTATTAGAACAAACATTCTCCAAAACAGAGAATATTTGCAGTGTGACAGAGAGTAACTCCCCAAGGCTTCTTAACACTTAGATGAAGCCAAATACAATATATGCTCATAGCCATGAGGGGCCAAAAATTTTCCTGGATCTCCAAATTCATCTTTTTCTTTTAGACCAAGTCAAATCAAATTGGACAAACTAATTAAATCTTTAGAATTATCTAGGGAAATTCAGCTTATGTGCTGTTTCTTAGTGTCATCTTAGTGGTTAACACGAATTTACCATTAAGTTCTTTTTTTCCTAGGGGTTGGGGGTAGAGTTCAGTGATAGAAAACTTGTCAGGCCTGTGTGAGTTTCTGGATTCATTTCCAGCATGGCAAAAAACAAACAAAAAACTCAGTCTAATGGTAATTTAAAGGTATAGATTGCATGTGTAAAGCTGTGTTCTGCTATGTGTGAGGGCGAGGAAAGGAGGTGAACAGGGATAATGAGCAACAATTAATCATATTATTCCTTATAATAGTACTTGTATGCTTGTAGTCCACGCCTAATTTTATTGGTAAACATTTCTTTTCTGTCTTAAGCTACTCCAGATTAATAAACTGTTTCAAATGAGCCATACTCTTTAGTTTCTCATTAAACACGTTAATAACAGATCATAGTGTGTCTTACTGTCAAAAGGCAGTTTCTTGGGCTATATCTGTTGTCCTTTCTATTTACCCAGTAAAGAATGATACTGAGTAGAATAATTGTGTGTGGCTGTTAATTAGTGCTTTATTGACTTCCCTCATTAAAATAGAATCGTAAGTTTGAAGCTAAGTCAGAAGTCCTTGGTCTATATTTCTAGTTTCTCCCAAGATGAGAAATTTTGAGGTACTATTGGAAGTACTGCTATATAAATGAGAAACAATTATCCATGGTGTTTATTCTGTAGAGCTACTTCAGCAGCAGAAGGTGCTGCTCCCACCAGCCCAGAATTTGTTTTCCTCCTAGCCTGGACTGTCTCCATCTCAGAGCCTAGAATAGGAGTTGTGTCATCCACACTGACTCCAGCCTGCAGCTGTAACTTTCTAGAGATCAAAGGGCCCCCTGTCTGTGTTGTCACCGTGAATGACAGGCCAGCATTGTGCAGTGCAGTAGATCAATTCGCTGTACAAAAAATAATAGTTCCTTTTCCTTAGCTGCTTGAGTAAAATCAAAGTGATGGCCTCAAACAACTTAATTCCATCCTTCAGGTACAAGCCCTCTTGAGGGATAGCTTGTGGTATAATTGCTTCCTGGTTAACCTTTTCACTGTTTTGCATCAGTTTTGCTCTACTTTTTTTGTGTCTAATCATCATTTTAAAATGAGGGTCATGTGAGTATTTAAAAAATAAAAAGGATTAAAGAGCGAACTATTATGAACAAGAATAAGAGGCCTGTACTCCTCGAATTTTAAAACAGTCATGAAACTAGGAAATCCACTATTTCACCTGGGGAATCACGGGATTGTCTCTTTCTTTAGTCAGTTATTACACCTCTCATTCATTGTGGTTCTCTACTGACAGAGACTACACACTTTAAAGTCCAATAGGCAGTGCTGTTTTGCTTTCTAGTAAAAACCAAGAACTTCCTTGTATTTCCATTTTACTATTTTAGATTGTACCCATCATTCTGATAGATAGCATTAAGAATTTAAATGTATGTACAATTTGATTAAGGTGCTCAACTTCAAGAACTATGTCACAGAAATAGTAAAGCTACCCACCTTATGGAAGCTGGATAGACATAAAGGAGAGGACCTGGGGCCCCAAGATGCAGTTCCCAAAAATGTACCCCCATCTTGCACTCTGAGGTCTACCTTCTAAATTTTTATCACCTCTCAATAATACCTTTAAGTTATGAATCCATCAATGGATTACTCCACTAATAAGTTTAAAACCCATAATGCAATCATCTACCAATGCCCTACCTCTGAAAACAATGTACCTTTGGAGCACACAGAAAAAGTTTCAAAGAAATATCAAAATGCTAGCAACTATACTTGGTAACGAAGATTATGATACAGTAATCATTCTACAATACTTTCTATGTTAAATACATTTTTATTAAGCACTCACTCTGAGGAAAAAAATAGCTGTTAACTACAGAAAATATTTTATCAGGGTTTTCTTTGCCTTAAATGAAAGTACTTACAAGAGAAAAAAAAACTCTAGCCACAAACTACAGTAAATTTTATGTAACAAGGATGATTAAAGAATAGGGTGTCATAGGTAAGTGGGAGTGAACAGAGTCTGTAAGAGTATAGGGCAAGGGCACATCAAAAGGAACACTACAAAGTGGCTTTTATCCAAGCTTTTAAGACTTTCTATTTTTAATGACTGGACCAAAACCAAAATTAGGCACCTCTCAATCCAGCCTGGTAGTTACCAGCCCACACTGTTTGCCTGTAAACATACCCAGCTCCTCCCCTTGGCTAGGCTCACAGACGTCTTATATATGAAAACAACCTGAAACAGTTATAGTCACAGAACAATCTTGTAGGTGGAAGACAGAAGAGCTAAAATTCCTCTGTTCTGGAGCTTGTTAATGCCGGGATGTGGCCTAAAAGTTCTTTTGGAAAAAGATTTATGGCACATACACAAAGGAAGGTGGATGAGGACGAGGAGGAGGAAAAGGAAAAAAGAGAAAAAAAAAGAAAAACAAGCTGTTAGGCACACTTCCACTTTGAAACTGAGAAACTGATTCCTAGAGTCAAAATTACTTACTCACCAGAAGGGAAATGCCAGGTTCAAAGTGCAGTTTCCTGACGCTTATTCTGCCATTACCACTATCAAAGCACCAGTGGAATCCTCACAAAACTCCTTACAAGGCAAACAAGATCTGGTAGAAGACCACATTCCTGTGTTCAACCTGAAGTATTTGTTTTCTAACTGAAAAGTCTAGTTTTAAATTCTTGAAGTTCTCATGAAAGGTAACAAACCAAATTATGAAAGACTTTAAAATATCTAATGCACAACTTCTGAACAGCTATTGTGTTAAACATCACGAGAGATTTTCATCTTAGTATTTAGTGCCTGGCAAGAGATGACTCAGTGCTATGGAATTTAATTTTAAATTGTTTTCGAATAAATTCAAACGGTCCAGTAGCATGAGATTTTGGAAGGTGACAAGGTGGTTTCGGAGATTTGAGAGTTTTCAAAGCCATATAACAAAGGTTACCTCTAACAATCATGGGGATTTATGAAGCTCTCCACCCTAATTGTTTCTAGAAACCCTTAACCATGCCTCCTTGTGCAAGAAAATTATATTGCGAATTCTTATCATCTCTGCTTGCCCGGGACTTCATAGTATCAGCACCATATGCCTAGAAACTGCTCAGGCATTCCTTTCTGGGGTTTGTCATTAAATCCTTGTTTTCTGGATGCCAAGGTTGAGGGTGCAGCAATTGGTCAAGGTCACCCAGTGAGTCAGTGGCAAAGCTGGGAATACAACTCAGACTTTCTGACTCCCTCGCCCATCCCCTGACCAGCAAACCGCATGCTCTTAACCAGGATGAAACAAGCTTGTCTGTCTCAGCATTCACAGTGAGCAGGGGGGAGAGAAACTACAATTTCTCCATTTCCTTTTCCAACATTCATAAGTCATTTATTTCATCAGAAATAGGCAAATTGTCCCAGATCATTCTTCCCTCCCAAATAAGAAATAATTATTTTTTATTGATTTGTCAAGGAAATGCTACTTTAATTTGGAAGAGTAAGAAAAACCATTTTACCCCATCACATCACATTGTGTACCATTGGTGGTGTAGCTGCGGTGCAAACCCACAGGAGCTGCTTCCTGCACTCTGCCAATGGTTGGTTCTTTCGCCAGCTTCTCCGTGTGGCCTCTCTTGTACTGGGGTCGGGCGTCTCGTGGTTCCTGGCAAAGGACAGTCCCAGGGACAAGCCAGGCCTTGACGTGGCTATTCCTTCTGCTCTTTTGAATGCTTACTGACCACAAGAGAACCCAGTGCCACTGGCAGCTACACCCCGCATGCCACTTGAAATGTAGTCAGTCGTGGCCGTCCAACAAGGCGCCAGCCAGTAAAGGATGACTTTACTAAGGACAAGGCAAAGGCAGTACAGCCATCTCCTGCCAACACCCACAACATGGGAGAAGGGGTTTTAACACTCTGAACATCAGGACAGGCTCATGGATGAAGTGTCCTGCTTTTCCCCGTAATCATAAAGTTCTTTCTCCCACCTTTTTGTACCTGTCATGTTTGATCATAAATAAATGCATCTTTCTCAGAATAAGCTAATCTGTTTACTCCCAAACGCTCATTGTCGTTTTGGAGACAACTTTCTAAATTCTAGGGTGGGGCTCCCAACCAGTTGGTCTTAACCCTCCAGTTCTGTTGGGAGTTAGTCACTGGGATCTGCGTGACAGTGGTCCCAGAAGCTGTCAGCAGAAACACGGAGCAGCAGGATGGAACAAGGGAAGATAAAAGTTACCCCGGCTCCTCTCACCATGCCATTGTCATCTGTTAAATCTCAGTCCAAGCCAAACATGCTTTCCAGGTCAGAGTTCCAGGAGTCATTTCAAATGGACAGTGTCACGTCTGCTCTTATGACCCCAACCACTTGTCCTCTTCACATGTGAAAATCCGAGGCCTAAGTCCATCCCACTAATATTTCAGAACAAAGTCCTCACTGACCCCAAACCAGTTTTCCTCTAGTTTTTGAAACTGCACAAACTTAAAAGACTGATCATGCATGTCTTTCCCATCACACAATGTCTCTAAATGCATTCTATTCTGTATTTTTTCAGCTCTTTCTACTTGCACAAGCCATCAAGTATTATGTTCTCATCAGAAGGAATGTTTGCTTAATGTGACAGCACTGGATGTACCCCAGGGAGAATGACAACATAATTTTGTTTACTGGTCATTCCTAGTTCAAAAGAAGTAAATTTCATTAACTTTTCTGATAAAACACAAAGATACTATTATATTTGCTTTCTTCATAAAATTAAAACAAAAAAACCTTGACGTCTCTAAGAGGGCAGGCTTTTTGGAGTTTCTTTGCTCTATCCAGATCATCTGGAGGCTGATGCTGCTCTGATGGCCACTGAGTTGTGACGGAAACACCCATCTATGCAGTTCTATGTAATGTCACTGTAAAACTTCTGCCCCTTTACATGTATTCCATGGTCATCCAATAGCTTCCCTATCAGAACAAGGAATGTTATGACCCTAACATTTTTCATCAAAATTATAAAGACAGATATCTCATCCCAAAATGTCCCTCAACCAGCAAATAAATAAAGAGACAAATAAATATTTTTTTTGAAACTCACACAAAAAAATTCACATAGTCTACTGAAGCCTGACTTCATAGATTGGGCTAGAGAAGTCAAAGCTAAGGGAGTCAGTCTGAGTAAGGCTGTGTTGGAGGGAATAAATCAGCCTGACCTTCTCACTTTCAAATCTAAGAGATGCTAAAGAGTGTTGTGTAGGTTCAGGCCTCGATTCTCATCCTCATGGTAGAAATCTACTCTTAGGACAAAAAGTCATAAGGAAAAGAATCTGTAGAAATGGATACTTTTTTTTAAAAGGTTCAGTTTAAAAAAAAAGCTGAAAACAAAAACTAAATCCCTCAATTAGACATTGGAGCAGATTACTTTTTTTTTTTTCCAAGACCCTGTTACCTTTCCACTACATGTGCTGTGGACAGGAAATGGCCTTGTATGCAACTGTGTCAGCAAACACAGCTTAGCTTCTGCTTCCAAAAGGAGTAGCAGGAAAGATCATCCAAAAGCAGGAGTTTAAGACCTTTTGTTTTCATGAAAATGAACTCAGAGAAGGTTAAATCTTTCATATATGTCAAATAGTCATCTTATCTGCTTTATTTTAAACACAGTATTTGAAAACCCAAGAGTCAACAATGATGTGATGGTTTCCTTCATGAGACTTTCTTGTTCTTTTCCCCACTAATAAAATGGTGTTTCTGATGCAACACACAGAGTTGGAACAGAAAGATGTGAATAGTAAGGCAAAAAGATTTAAAGTCTACAGACTGTAGGAACTGAAGTGTATTAGGAGGTTAAGCTATTTTCTAAAAAAGGCAAACTTTGTAGTTTAATCTTCTTATTCTAATGATAGATGAATAGCAGAAGATTCAAACTTTAAGCTATTCTGAATTTTGTAATTCAGTGGTGTTAAATACATCCACAGTAGCACTTAGCCATCACCACATTACACCCCAAACATTTACACCATCTTCAATAAAACTCAGTATTCTCTACACCATAAATTTCCACTCCTCCTCCTCCAGATCTTGGCAACTTTTTGTCTATTTTCTTTCTATTTGAATTTACCTAATATATGTACCTCATCTAAGTTGGAATCATACAATATTTGCCCTTTTGTATGTGATTTCTTTCACTAAGAATGTTTTCAAGGTGCATTTATGTTGTACCACATAGAAAATTTCATTCCCCAAAAAGGCAAACTTTTACCTGTAATCCAACAGAATTTTGATCTGTCTTCTTATTGAAACCCTTGTTCTCTAGAGTTTGTTAAATCTCCATAAAGAAATGGACAGGTAATGGACATTTAATATAACCCATGCTCACAATGCCTGCCTTTCCTGTCACTTTTCAATATAGTGTTTTGCAAGTCCATCAAACCCAATGCCATCTTTTCATCAGAAATATTTTGATGCAATGGTGACATGCACTTGTAATACCATGACTCTCGGAGGCTGATGCAAGAGGGTCACAAGTGCAAGTCCAGCTCGGGCAGTTTAGCTACTTAGCAAAACTGTCTCACAGTGGAAAAAAAATTAAAAAAAAAAACAAAAAACCGTACAGCTCAGTTTAAGGGCCCTAGTCTCAATTCCCAGTGCCACCAAAAAGAAAAAAAAATACATGTCTTGTTAAGTTCTCTTCATTAGCCTGAAATTACATTCCAATTCAGTGTACCTATATACACCCACTACATATTTAATGAGATAATGCCTTAAACATTACATAAATTAGGAATAAAAAGAAATTGAATCATATTTCAATTTGTAAATGCTTGAGAATAACTTCATTGTGAGACATCGTGACATGATCAGGAGCCACATTTCGATAGAGAACCATCTTTGAATTCACCAAGTACAAACACAAATCAGGATGAATGTACTGCATAAACAACTAAGTGCTTTAAGCAGTGCTGTGATTTTCTAACAGTTATGCAAATTTTCAAAATAGCAACTTTTTTTAAAAAAGAGGTCTAAGCAAAGTTAAAATACAAATCCTTTATTTCTAGGAAAATTTGTAGTTTATTAACACTGCAATAAATACATTGCATTCACATGTAAATTGAAGTTAGCCTGTTGGTCCTCCAAACTCATGAGTGCCCACTTGGACACAGGAGAGTTAAATGAACAGGACTATGCCAGACTTGCATACTACTGACATTGATGACACCTGTGTCATCAATGTTAGTAATGACACCTAATCATTGTGACAATAAAAAATTAAACACAAATTTTTTAAATGATCCATGAGGAAGACAGAACTAGTCTAGACTTTAGTGATGGGAAGCCATCAGATAATTCTCTTTGTCAGTATGACCTCCCAAGTCATAAGAAGCACCATTTGCATTGTAGGATCTTGAGAGAGACACTGCTCTGGGAAAATTAGACAGTTTGAATTGGTAACTGGTGGTCAACTAAAACACCAGATGAACTGAATCAAGATGGGGCTGAGTGTGAATGGCCCACAGACGTCTGTTGCCAGCATAAAAAGGAGACCTGGAGAGAAAAAGTAGCATTGTGGGTTCTCCTAAGTGTTGTTGTTTGGAGCTATTGATTCCCCTGGAGGAACTTGTCATGTTGGCTCCCCTAATATGAACTTGGCTGTCATCATCAGAGGAGCTCAGGGCCTCACTGCTGAGAAAGGCTGCAGTTCACTTTGGAGAAGCTTGGATCCTTTGAGCATTGCTTCCTGGCTCCAGAGGGTAAAACGTGTGCTGTTTTCTCCTAGAGTAGTTTGTCACACTGGCTTCCTGATATGCACTTGGCTGTTCACTGCCTTGGTCTCAGTGTCTTTGAGGATGCCTGTGGTAATTTTCAGGGGAGCTTTGGTCCTTGTTTTAAGCATTGCATCTTAGCTCCAGTACAGAACCCTTGACCTGCTTGCACAGATCTTTCACCCTACTGGCATAGACTTTCTAGCTTCTCCCACTGACCTTTGGGTCTTCCTGGTTCAGATCTGTGGAACAGACTTGCATTGGTCATTGTCATGGGCTCTGGGTTTTCACCTGAACTCATGCAGGCCGTGGGTCCAGGGCCTCGCTGGATTTTCTAGGCCATTAGTGTTGTGGACAGGTTTCCTGCACTTTCTTTGTATTTGATTGTTTCAATGACCATTATAAATAATACTATAAATTATGTGTCCTGTATGTAATTGTTCTCCTTGCAACCCCTGACTAAAACAGGTAGGGAGGAGTTCCTTCCATGTCTTTAGTCTTCTGAGTAATCTTTGCCCATACCATGGGCCTGAGATCTTATCTTCTGCCTTTCTTAGCGGGCATTCCATCTACCAGGTATGCCTAACTTCCTAAATGTCAGAAAGTACATAAACAATTATTGTGGATACTTTTAAGCTGACCATGCAAATTATGTCATTATAGCTTCAAAAAGGGGTCAAATTCTCTTCTATTTCATTTTTCTTTTCAAAGTTCACCCTTACAGCCTCTAAATTGAAGCTGCAATCTTGGCATAACTCCCGTACTATTAGAAAAAAATGTTTACTAATTCCTTTCTGTACAATCCACATCCAGCCTGGTTCCATGACCATACTGCCCTCCTCAAAATCTGCCTGAACCAAACCTGGCAGCTTTTTGCCCCTGCAAGTACCACAGTTACCAGAAACTGAACTTTCCACTTCCTAACACCTCAGCCTCCTAATCACTCCTTGAAGTGACTGATCTTACCGTGTTTTAAAAATATGTATCTGGTTTGTTTTTTTCTTTTAGTGGAGAAAGGGTCTTACTACTTAATCTAGACTGGCCTTGAACTTACTGTGTAGTTCATGTAACAAGTTCCCTTTATGCTTCTGTCATTTATTTAAAGTAGATCAGGGAGTGACATTTTATCAGTGAGGTCACTGATAACACAACAAAGTGCGGCAAGATTGGTTGATTTGCCAATCAATTATTATAACCATACAGACAATAAGTAGTGAGACAGACAAACAGCACAGGCTGTTATTTGCTTATTTGCTGTTTTTCCTATCTTAATTCAGGAAGTTTTTCAGTCATCTGTGCAATATACTGTTTAAAATAAAAACCTCTCCAGTGAACTAATTTGTATTTACCCTTTCACAATCCCTTAAGATTAGCAGGTCTCTCAAAAAGCCTTCATGCATTTCTTTTTGTCAGTATAGATGGAAAACCCCTCATTTTCCAGTCTATCATCATATTCTCAGAAGCGCCTTTGCTCTTCTGATGGTTTAAGGGTGCCCTTCCTTTGACCTTGTCCAACATTATTATTTTTTATGAATATACAAAAACCAAATTTGCCACCCCAAGAGATGCATAGATTCTGTATTTGTACACACAGGTATGGCAATACTTTCCACTGTATTTCTGAAGCATAGTATATACAGCACTCTGGACTTGAGACCTCCTAGAATAGCCATCACTGCATATCCAGTATTCTTTGGAAGACCCAGCTTTTCATGCCTTTTAACCTCTCCTTTCAACATCTTCTCTACCCTAAAATCTGTGCAAACTTCAAGGCCTAGTTTGAATGCTTCCTCCTTTGTTATATTGTTTGTCTCTAGAAAAACAGAGCCAATCAGAGAGTACACAAAAACAGACACATAGACTTATACGAAAATTCCTCAGGTGGGTGTGGAGGCTCAGAAATTCCATGACCTGCCATTCACAAGCTGGAGACCCATGAAAACTGGTGGAATAATTCCAGTCTGTATCTGAAGACTGATGGGGAGTAGAAAAATCATTGGTGTGCATTCTAGATCAAGTCCAAAATCTGAAAATCTCTGGTGCAAGTCCCAGTCCACAGTGGGGAAAACAATCTTCTTTACTCAGTCTTCCAATTCAACAGTCATAGCCTCCAAAAGCATTTTCACAAATACACCCAGAAGTAGCATTTAACCAGATTATAGGTCCATTCTCTGACTCTGTCAAGTTAACACATAAAATTACCCTTCATTATACCCACATTATACCTCGATTTCATCCACTCCACATATCTGTTTAGCACTTAATTAATTTTGCTAGATATTACAGCTAATTGCTCACAAATGTTTGTGTTGCACTCACTCTTATTTATACTTCACTAAGCAGCATTCATTTTCTTGCTTGCTCTTCTTGTAACCCCTTCTTTCTGAAATCATTGTTCTTTCTGGATTAATTTCTGTGACAGCATTGTGTGTGACAAATTGTTTGAATCCTTCTTATGGTTGGTACATTGTGTCAACTTGAGAAGTTTAGAAGTTTAACTGAGAGACTCAGCAGGGAGCCAGGATCCTTACTTTGTAAACATCCTCATCCTGTGCAAGAGGAGGGCAGGAAGGTTTTGTCAGTGCTATACCAGTCCTGGTATGCACAATGTAAGGAGAAGAGGGTTGTTTCCCTATTTTGCTCTGGCTGCTGCCCTGAAGTGTTGCCTTAGTGCCATGACACCTTGCCTTGCAGCCAGATGATTATGGGTTGAAACCTCCAAAAACTATAAGCTAAACAAACCTTTCCTTCCTTAATTTTGGGTGTTAGATGGTTTGTCTCAGCAATGATAGAAAAAGTAACCAAGGCAATCCTATATGTTTCCAACAGGAAGATCTGGGAAACAACAGAAAAATCTATATGCAAAATTTTTTGTTGTTGTTTGCAATGCTGGGGAATCAAATCCAAGGCTGCATATATACTAGGAATGCTCTGTACCACTGAGCCGCATACCAAGCCTCTCAAATCATTTTTAAAGCAAATATTTTCAATGAACTCACTTACCCAGAAGGTTTGAGATAGGGTAATAGTATGAAATGTAAATCAAAAATCCTTCTCAACCTCCACTCTGTGTCTTCTACCTTTGTATTCTGCTTTAGGGTTAATTTCCTTCCTGGACAGTCCCAGGAATTACAGGCAGGTGTGACAATGTCCAAGGTACATGGATACTCTCTTTCTTTCTTAAAGGAAAGAAGACCTTTCACATAAGCCAGTCAGCAGACTTCTGTCATCTATTGGCCAGGACTAAGTCACTCCATCCTTTATAAATCAAAGACTATCACAGAGAACAGGATTACGATACCTAGTGCATGCTAATTAACACTCACCCCTTGTGCACCCAAAGATAGGGACAAATACCCTCATCCATGGGAGATGTGCTTGATCCTTGGCTTGCTGGAGAATACTGGTAGGAAAGGCTCCCCAGAATTCCTTAGTCATCACGGAGAGTTGTGCTTGAATCAGCCTCCCCAGGATGCAATTGGAGGGTGGTGCCCTGGGACAATGAGTTCCTATTTACGCTGCTCTCATGTTTACAGGGAAGCTGGGAGTGGAAAGGCAAACTTTACCAGGACTATAGTGATGGGAGTGTTCAACCAGGGGAATTGTGAGCAAGTGGTGCAGCTGGGATTTCCATTACCTGTGGGAGTTTTTTTTTTCTAGTTCTGGTGTAGGCTACCGATCCCAGATTCTCCCTGGTAAGCCGGTTCATAGCTAGATTACTAAGAAAGCAGAGAGTGAGGCCTGGGATATGTGGCAGTTTGTTTGCCTCATCCCTGAATGGCATGGACGAAGAATGTACACATCACCCAAATGAGGTTCCACCAGCAAGAGAGAAAAGCCACTGAGTGAGCCATAGGGCATGCCTTGTGCCCTGGCTGCTGGATGCCTTGTGCACCCGTCCACAGATGCTAAATCCTAATTCTAAACTTGGGTTTTTTTCTTTCAACATTGCAGATCTGACCTCATTGTCTTCTATCCAGGACTGAAAGGAAAAAACCTGAGGTTGTCTGTTGGTTTATATACAGTAATTTTTGTAAATTCCAATGTTATAATTTTGTGTGAATCTGTGAGCAGTTTCATCTTGTTGGTATAGACTTTGGGATGTAAGAGCTCTTTTTTTTTTTTTTTTTTTCAGGTGTTATTTCGTCACTTATTTGAAGAATGCCTTCACTGTCTCTATTTTATTCATCCAGACCCATCAAGGCAACCACAGCTAAATCAATGGTAACAACAAAAAACTTTGTAGCGTGCAGACATTTCATCCAGCTTTTTCTTTGTATATTTTTCATTCCTTTTTTTCCTGTGTGCTCCACCTGTCTCCCCTCACTAGATTACTACTTAACTCTTTCATTTTGTCTTTTCTGCTGCTGAGTCTGCTAATGAGGGTTTTGTAAAATAAACATTATCACTGAATTATAGCATACGTACAAAGTGTACAAATACAGTGTGTACAAGCTGATGAAGAATCACACAGTGCCAAAAATGTTGTTTATCTTCCTTTAAGATATTAGTAGATGTTAGTATAGTAGCTTCTCTCTCTCCTCTCTCTTTCCCTCTCCCTCTTTCTCTTTCTTCTTCCAGTGACAGGGAATGATCGCAGAGAGCACACTGAATGAGCGCACTGAACTACATTCACATCTCATATTTTCTTTTTTCTTTTGAGACAATCTCACTAAGTTGCTAAACTACCCAGGCTAGACTCAAACTTGTGATCACAAGTTTCACACTAAGAATCACACTTGTGATTCTTAGACATGCACCACCACTTCCATTTCTGTGTATGTGTCTGATAGTTCTGATATGGTAATTTACCAAAGTAAAGATCTATTCTGCTCCAGGCCCTGTTTTAGAAGCCATAGCCATAATAAATAAGATGACACCTTACTTCGAAGGAAATTCCCATGGAGTTAAAAAAGAGAAAGGCACACAGAAAGAATGAAAGCAAGAGCTGTTGAAAACAAAAGATATTGGGGTGTGTTATCAAAAAAGGGAGGTCACATTCACTCAGTAAACCAGAGTAGTTTTGTGGAATACGGCACGTAAAATGAACTTTGAAGCATGGTAGGAATTTGACAGAGATCAAGAAGTGAGAACACTGCATAAAGAGCACAGTAGAACTACTGTGTGCAGAATAGCGGTAAACTTTTAACAAGAACAACAACAGAAATTGGTCTATATTCATCATGCTTACATAATTTTGACCACTAGCCAGACCAAGGTATAGTATATCCACAGTGAGCTACTTGGTAGAATAGTGTAAGTTTCCTCAATAAAAATAAATGACATTTTTTTGTTTATCTAGTTTAATCAAATTGGTGCAAAGAGCTAAAATGAATACTTCCCTTCAGGAATCTTTTTAATGAATGGACTAGAGGGAACAAACACTCACCCAAAGTTTTCCTAAACACAAGTACGGATATGCTCAGGTAAACACTGAAGATTACCGCGTTAGTTCTGGCTGAAAGGAACATGGAAGGCTTCATGGAAGTGCACATTTAGGTGAAGACTTGAAAGTTAAGGTGGGATGGAGAGGATGGCAACAGGAGGACCAAGATCAGCTCTCTCTGTAACACCTCGGTCAGGATAAACAGAGCCTCACTGAGACATGGTGATTCCGGATACCATGCCTTTCAATATGACCCAGTCAATTAATTATGGGTGTAAATGAGATTTTTCATTAACATGCCAAAGGACACAATTGTATCAAATTATATTTTAAAGAAATCTATTGGTTTTATTTGGGATTCCAGAGTCAGCCAATATTTCATTTCATAAAATTTTTGATGGGCCGAGCAAGAAGAGGTTGGTTTCAGAGTCAGAAAAGAATGAGAAGAAAGTAGAAACAAAAAACAAAAAGCAGATTTTGAAATAACTTTGCTTGTAATGCAAGCGCAGGAAGGCAAAACAATAGAAAAAACTGGCTGGTAAACAGTTTAAGTCAGTTTCTCTCTCTCTCTCTCTCTCTCTCTCTCTGTCTGTCTCTCTCCCTGTCTCTCTCTCTCTCTCTCTCTCTCTCTCTCTCTCTCTCTCTCTCTCTCTCTCTGTGTGTGTGTGTGTGTGTGTGTGTGTGTCTGTAAAGAGTAGAGCAGAGGGAAGTTCATTATCATGATCTGAAACTGGCCTGTTTAGAAATCCGGCTGGTGTCTCTATTTGGGGGGAGATCAAGTAACAGTGTAGTTTGTGTTTGGTGATACGGAACTTCAGTGAGTAACTCCATTTTTATTTTACCTGGTCTCTTTAAGGCCTAGGGTAGGAGTAGAAAGTAAAACAATTCCCTCCTGTAATTTGTGTTTAACAAGCATCATAAAGTGCTCTGATGGGTAAAAAATGACTGAGTCCTGTGGAAGTCTTCACATAGTCAAATAGGAGCTTTGTCTTTTAAAAATATTATTATTAAGGTAATATCCCCTGTGACTAGTAGTCTCATAATGTGGGAAAAGAGAGAGGTTGTGAACAGCTTTTGGGAGACACAGATGATCCTTTAGGCAAGCTGGAAATCCAGTGAGGGCAGTCCCAGCGGAGCAAACAGCAGGTAAAAGCAGTGACTGGCAATTGAATGTGATCAAGAAACACCAGCAGCTCTGAGGAACTGAAGTACAGGAAAGCTAAAAGACAGGAGTGTCTGTAATGACGTCTGAGCCACACTGTCTTAGTAAGGCCTTATATGCCACCTTCTGATCCTAAAAACAATGACTGTAACCATAGCGTCTTAAACAAGCAGCAGACACCTTAGAAAAATCACTCAGAAAAAGAGATGAGCAGAAGGGAGTCCAAAACCAGAAAGACCATTGCAGTTCCACTGCATCAAAGCAGAGCAGGGCAGTAAGGAAGCCACGTCACGGCACGCGGGAGAAAGTTTGTCTGCTTATGTCATTATGGTCTCTCGCCACCCCATTTTTCAGAACACTGTGCAAGCCAATTCTTTAAACCATAGGCTCAGGAATGAGAGTACCACATACATTGAAGAAATTTTAATTTAAGTTGCTTGAGAGACGGAAACCCACCTCTGCAAAGTTCAGCACATTCCTCAAAGCTGCTCTCACTTCGCTGTGTGGCGGATTCAGGCAGGAAAAGGCTCCGTTGCTAAGGCAACTCCATCCTAGGCCTCTACACCGATGCCCTCTGCTGTGCTGTCGGCCTAAACTCTCAGGGATTGCTTAGAAAATTACAAATGAGGAGTGCTTTTTCTTCGCTTATCTTCTTCAGAAATCCCATTTCCATATTCTCTGTGTTAACCATTTTATTTCTGTGATCATTTTTATCAGCTCCAACCTCTCTCTTCTCTAATAAGGAATACAGACTTTCCAGTTCAGTTAGACTGCATTTTTCTGATACTTTCAGTCTCATTTACTATGATTCTAATCTGGAAAACTGTCAAAGGAAAGGAGCAGAAAGGGAGGCAGAAAACAGGCATCTGATCTAATATAAGACTAGGTGCTATGAGGCACACGACTACAAATCTAGACTCATTTCCTTGTTAAAACATATGACACCATACATTAAATAATAGTGATATAGGGCATCTGGATTTCAAAAAGACATTTGGCAAAGTTTCAGGACAGGGAGCACAGTGAAGGCATGGAGCCTGGATAAGATTGTGTGGTTAGAATAATTCAAATCTGACAGTACCTGGAAGGTGTTGGTTAATGACTCACCCACATTTTATAGAAAGAGTTCTAATTTTAACCCTGTTCTATTCATCAAATTTATCATCACTTACAGTGGGGCATGATACTAATTTTGCAGCTGGCTGAATTCATCTAGAGCAATGCTAGGCACTTAATAATTGTTCAATAAACGTTGAACTTAATTGAGGGGAAATTTGACAGAAACCTGACACAATCACCATTGTAAATTGGTTCATTAAGCTGAAAAAATGTAAAACTATGAATACAATAGTATTGAAAGGGTAAATGAATTTTATGCACTTGGACACAAGTAATCAATGACACAAGTATAAGATTGAGAAAGCTCAATTTAACATATTTTTCAAATGTTAAAAAGAACCAAAACTACAAGCTAAATATGATTGACAGCTTGCTTCCTTCTCCCTACAAAATTAATACAGGATACACACTGTCATATACCAATCAAGAGGAGTAGTAGCTTGTTCACCTCTATCCAGTGTAGAAAACATCTGGAAACTGTTTCATGCCATGAGTCACTTTTAAAGAGGATCACTAATCAACAGACCACATTGTCAAGGGAATTAAGATTGCTATACAGCTGACTTAGCAGTGGTGATGACCTTGGATTATCTGGGTAGACCCAGCAAAATTACAAGTGTCTATAAATGTGAAAGAGGAAGGCAGAAAACAGGACCAAAGTGATAGCAATATAAAAAGACTATGCCCTGTTACATGATGTTGAATTTATAACTGAGTTCTTGACCACAGGTAATTTATAGTTTTGTGTTAGAAAATGACTGGATAGACAACTTCAGTATCTCTTTAAAGATACTCCATCAGTGCCTCCTTACAATCCTTATCATCAGGAACAGACACACAGTAGTTAGGGATTGAACATACAGTTTCTGTGGTAATACAATTCTATCTATATTCACTATGTAACTGAACATATCCCAGTTTCTGGGGTTGAGTACATGGGTATATTTGTGGGGCCACTTTTTGCCTATCACAAAACTCAAGAAGTGTTGTTGAAAAATGAATGAATGCTAAGGAAGTCATGCTTGTAGGAAAACTCAAAAGAAATCCTTAGTTCAGTCTGGTACATCCAGGAAAGAGTCCTAGAAAACTCATGTGAATGAATAAAAAGTTAGGAAAGGAATAGAAAAATTATTAAATACTACACAGTCAAACGTTCAAATTGCAAGTGAAAAGTTAAAGCTCATGGAGATAAAACAACTTGTATAGAATCAATTCTCCCTAGGCTTTGTCTAAAGTCAACTGTATTGCTCAACTCCTGGCCTACCACAGGCAAATGCTGACACTGGGAGAAGGCAAAGATAACATACAGTAGATAACAGAAGACATTCTCCTTATCAGACAACATGTCCTCTGGGAATTTGGGAAACAAATTAAGGGTGCGAGCCTCTTTTTTTTTTTTTTTTTTTTTCATCTACAGAATGGTATAAAACAGCTTCTGTGTCATAGTATTATTGTTAAGTATTAAAAAATATATGAACTTAGTCTCTTCTGCATAGTAATAAATATACAATAAGTAAATTATTATTACTAGTGTTCTTTTTGGTGCTGGGGATTGAACTTAGAGCCCCAGGCATGCTAAACTCATGCTCTTCTAGTGAGTTATACCTCTGCCTGTACTATAAGAAATTTTAAATACATCTATTATAAAGCAATTGAACATTTGCCTACAGCATGTCTTTAATCTGGATACCAGGACACAGAAAAAAATGAGATGGTTTCTATCACTCTGGACTACAGTCTGTGCAGAGTCCCAAGCCTACATAGATGCCTGGGGAGCAATGAGCCAGCATGTCTGGTGTCAGAGAGTACCTGCTACAGAATTCCTGCATTTTATTACCACGCAGTATTGAGCCCCAGTGCTGTTCGGTATTCTAGGTTTTCAAAGGATGTTACAAATCTAAATATTTGCAATAAGTTTTGACTCTGGAAATTCCTATCAAACACATCTATAGACCACATCTAGCCATGGCTTGGTTCTGACCTCTATGAAGAGGTCCTGGAGAAAAGCACTGGGCTATCAATCAGCAGTTCTTAGTCTAGAGCTCCAGATAGGACTCAGGGTCTATGGATGAGCAGGGAAAAAAGACCTCCTTATTTTAATTTATTTACATAGCCCATATATTTCTCTATACATATTTATATATTTAGAACTAGAAAATAAATTATATATCTGCTATACTTTGGATCTTGAATGCTCTGCCAAAGCCCATGAGTTGAAGGCTTGGTTTCTCACCAGTGGTGTTAGGAGTGGGAGTGGAAATTTTAGGAGTGGAGCAGGGTCAGTGGAAGCGACAACAAGGGTATGGCTATGAAAGAGATACCGGGGCCTTACGCCCTTCTTTTTCTCTCTCCCTGCTTCCTAGCTGCCACGAGGTAAGCAGCTCTTCCATCATGAGCACCCACCATCATGTGCTATGCTGCTTCAGGCTCAAAGGCAATGAGACCAAGAAATCATGAGCTGAAATGCTCCAACCTGTGAGCCCAAGTAACCCTATTCTCCTCAGAAGTTGATTTTCTCAGGTATGTAATGGAAACTGACAACATAATACTTTATTTTTGCTCATTCTATGAGAAATTATCACTTCTTATTTACAAACACCCCAGGTATTAGGTGTACCTGTAAATATCGTACCTGTAAATGCAGTATTTTCATTTCACATTGCAGTGTGCCAGCATCTCAAAATATCTTCTATGTTCATCGCTACTTTGAAATGATGTAAACTCTAGAGCCATTCTACATTTTAATGTTAAATATGTTAACGAAGAAACATATAACCACGCTAACATGGATGTGCTTTCATTTTAACATTTTGTTGATTGTATTTCATCATATTTGGGTACCTTTTAATCTTGTTTAACAATTTAGAAGGACTATTCTGAGACAGATTCCATATGCTTCACTCATCTGCAAAAGGGACTGGTGGTATGCATTACACAAACATGCATGCCCAACCAGCACCACCACCACACTGTACCAACCACAAGCTCTTGGACAAAATATCAGGAATAAAGGAGAAGGAGAGACAAAAGTTTACTCCAAACTATTTGATAAAATATTGGATGTGACCATGTGGCACTTAGCTGTCTTTAACTGTCACAGAGGTATCCTCGTTATCTCCCTCAGGCCTCTTAGGTACGTACTATGGTTAGTCTACTCAGCAACCAGGAGTGATGGCCTCCTATTGTCAAACTGCTATTCTGTTGAGCATCCCCAGGAACAACAGTTTGATCTGCAAATAGGCCACACTGGAATGTAAACTGTATAGTTAGAGATGCAGTTCTTTTGTGTGAGGTCTTATTAGGCTGAGGAGTTTCTGCTGGCTTCTTCCCCTTCCTGCTTAACTCAAGTTTCTTGCTGCTGGATGATGATCTCTGCTTATTTGCAAATCTGAGAGATGTGCTTGACCTCCTCCCCTCGTGGCTGCCTGCTCTGCTTGCTGCACTTTGCAAGTCTGACCTCGATTGTGGGTTTATTCAGTACCAGGAGACTGAAGTTGGCCCTTAACATTCCTAGGTCTTATGTGTCTGAAATCTTTAGTCTGGCTTTACGAATGATCTGAATGTATAACACTAGCTCCTGAATGGTAATGTAGGTTTGGTAATAAACTAAAATATAAATCAGGAGCTATGTGAGATTATTTTGAATAAAGCCCTGTTGCAACAAATCTTCAAGAATAATCTTAGTTTGCACAAAATTGAATTTCAGACCTCAACCTATATCCACTTCCTCGAGCTATGAAATTCTCCAGATATGTACTTAAATAATGCTAGCAACTTGTCTTCAGATGGTACTCATAAAGAAAATTGCTTCTACAAACCTCTTTCTTCAAATACCTTGATACCCCCTTAAATTCCAGATACATGAATATCCCCCTAAGCAGTGATAGCAAATCGTTTAGAGACAAATGTCCAAACTGCAACCCAAAACTAATTTATTTATCACAAAGAACCAACTTACAATTAAACCTGAATACCAATGTTTCAGTTTAAAAAAAAACTCATACATTAACATCTTTTGTCTTAAAAGAGAAAAAAAATGCATGTGTCATAGGTACACCACCATTGCTCTAAATTATACACACAGGGATCCCCATATTTATCAATAGTTCCCAAGGACACAGGTTTTTACTTCTTTTGTACAAAGTAGCATCTCCAGCCTAGAGTATGATAGGTACTTAAAAATACTAGTTGATTTAATAAATGAATTAATGGAATCTACATAGTTATAATTAAAATGCTTACTTCAAAAGTGATTGAAAGGATTATTTGAGATGCCATGTGTGAAAACACTGATAACCTCTTGTCATGTATAAGTGAATAAATTAGATCCA